GGCATTTTTAGTAGGACTCTTTTCCATTTTTCTGTAAAAATTAGCCTTGGCTTGCAAATCATGATGCAATAGATGTTGTATTGTAGGTAATGATTCAAAATAAAGCTAAGAGATTCATTATTTTAAATAGCGTAAAGTTGAATCTAACATTGACAGATATAAGATCAAGGCTGTTATCTTTTGAGTGCTGGCTAAAAGAAAGTTCAATGTTTAGATATGAATTTATTAAACTGTTTGTTACAACAGCCAAATTGAATCAATATCATTTAGTTTTGTCAGTTTGGGACCTTTTCTTTACTGCTAGTGATCTAAAGTTTCATATGTCTTCCTTGTTCTTGAAAAATCAGTGTCTACTTGGTTAAGAAAATTCTTGAAAAAACACTAAACTGTTTAGTTGAACAAGGAAGACATAAAAGTTTGGTACATCTTCTTTGTTCTTGAAAAATCACTAAGCTGTGTCTACTTGGTTAAGAAAGCATCCTGAAAGTTTTCATGAACTGGCTCTTTCATTTAAACATATATTTCTTCAATCACCACTCTTTGCATTCAGATGTCATGCTGAATAATTAATAAAATTTATGATCAAATCACCTAGTTATTCTGTAGTTAATATTAGCGAATTCAAATTATCTAGTCTATGAACAGAATGTTACATCACAGCAATGTGATCACTGTTGTAAAAGCTTCTTTTCATAATTATACTTTATTTCCTGAATTTAGGTGATATAGTTGGGAACTCATTCTTGGATTACTTATGTTGCTATTATTTTAAAACTCTGTAGATACTTCAGATTTTTAACCCCCTCCCCCCAATCTCATTTTCTCCTGTCCTATATTTGAAATGCTCATATCATGGGTTTGAATTACACTGATGACCTATTTTAAGAGACCTAGGTAAATGTAATATGTAGTTCCAACTTAGCACTGTCAAATGTATTTATTTTTGCATTAAGTTGCTTAACTGTCCAACCAGGTAGGTTATATACATAGATCCTAGATTTTTTGCAACATCTTTAAGTAATACTTGCACTTTTTGAAATATGTCCAAGAAATCAAAGCAGTACTATATTGAAAGAAAAAAGTTTCAGGTCTAAAAGTCTGTTGGAGTGTGCAAACAAAGAGATCATTATCCAAAGAATTGAAAATGTAACTGAAATTAGAAAACTTTAGTGAAAAGACTTTATTCTAAACAGAATTGAAAAAAAAAAAAAAAAAACTTCGAGCACTTTCATTTAGAACACAGCTGACACTAGGAAAACGATCATTACAATAGTGACATTTAGATTTGCCAGTTTTTTAATTTAAATTTTAATAGAAGCTTTAAATGTTTTTCTCTTGGTTTTAAAATTTTATCTTTCATTCCAATTTTCAGCATTTTTGAGGGATTACTTTCTCATCGCTGTATTTTAGTTTTGCGAGTGAAGCAAAACTTGCAAACCTAAACGTCACTACTGTAACGATCTTTTTCTTTTTTAGTTTCGGTTCTGTTCTAATTGAAAGTGCTCGAAGTTTTTAATTATTTCTTCTGAGTTTTTATTTCAATTTCGATCGGATTAAGTCTTTTCACTAAAGTTTTATAATTTCACTTATGTTTGCAATTATTTGGGTAATGCTCTCTTTGTTTAAAGATAAAGTTTTGATTTGAATTTTCCACTAAAGTATTTATTATTTCACTTACATTTTTCAATTCCTTGAATAGAGTTCTCTTTATTTAAAGGTAAAAAATGTTGATTAGAATTTACTTTGTTTTTTTTCCTAGCTTTGGGGAAGGGACAGAATTTTTGGGTGAACTATTATAATTAAAATGGCTCATCAGCTAATTCTGTATACAGAAAAGCGAGGATTTTTGTGGAAAAGGGATTTCAAATGATTTCAGCGTTCTTCCTCCTGACGAAGTGACATTGAAGTTGATTGAATTCCTCTTCTATTATGTTCTTTTTTCTTTAAATTTCATTGAATTTTTTAATTAGGGTATTGCTGGTTTGAATTGTTTTTGAATTAACATTTATTAATTATTTTTGCATTTTTATAAATTATTGAATTTATTACTTATGAGTCAATTTTTAGTCTTTGTGAAAAATTAGTACTAAATTTCTACTTATGTCTTACTGATATTTTCAGCACTTAATGCAGAAAATACGAGAAGATTATATATGCTTTAAAAAATGTTGTATTAGTATAGATATATATATAGACATATATGGTGGCCAAAATTGTGGACACTTTTGGAAATTTTTATGTTTTTCAACTTTGTATGCTTATAGAAAATGTTACATTTGCAAAATGCAAATTGTATTCATGTTAAAGAGAATTTATTACTGAATTCAATACAAAAACAAAATTCAATTATTTGTATACAAATAAAGTTTATATGTACTTTAATATAAAAAAAAACACAGTTATGAAGGGTTTGAATGTCTAGCTTTCCTGGCCAATCACTCTTCTTGTTCTGAGAACCAATCAAATGTAATAACTGCCGTAGAAGCTGACATCATGTTACACTGAAATAATTTATTTTGCTTTGTTCTGTAGAAGGAGGACCTGTTTTTCTTATACTGCAATTACAAGTAGGAATTTTTGTAAATTTTGATATTTAGTCAAGAAGGCAATGACTCAAATAAAAGAGTAATTGGGGCACCTAGAAAGAGATGTAATATTTTGTGTTATGAGAAGTGGTCTTTCCTATCTGAAATTGCAAGACAGGTGGGTGGTTCAGTGACTACATCCGGAGTCCGAAAATTTTGTTTACGATATCAGGAGACAAATTCAATAAAAAATAAAGTAGGAAAAGGCCAAAAAAGGTGCACCACATCTATTGATGACAGATGAATAAAAAGACTATGTCTCCAAGATAGAAAAATGTCATCAGCGGCCATCAGAAGTGGTCTGAATGATGCTGGTGTTTCTGTCAGTTCAAGAACAATTAGGAGAAGATTAACAGATGTTGGACTGAGAGGTAGAATTCCACAAAAAAAGCCTTATCTTAATTTTCAGCAACGAAAAAAATGACTACAGTGGGCAAAGGAACACATTAATTGGACAGATGATCAGTGATCACAAGTTATATGGAGTGATGAAACTAAGATATCGTTATTCAGTAGTGATGGGCGAAAATATGTAAGACGTAGAATGGAGAAGAGCTACATCCTGACTGCATTCAAGCAACTGTGAAGAACCCAGTTTTGTTATGATTTGGTCATGCATGTCAGCAGATGGTATTGGTCGCCTTCATGTCATCGATGAGACACTGAATGCCAGAAAATACATTGACACTATCTAAACCAAAACTTCTACCTTCCATCAGAGATCTCTTTCCCCAACAATGTTTCATTTATTTTTCAGCAGGATTCTGCTCCTTGCCACACGGCCAAAATATCGAAAGAGTGGTTTTGTACAAAGAGCATTAAATTGTTGTCATGGCCAGGAAACAGTCCTGACCTCAATCCTATCGAAAATTTGAGGCACCGTTTGAAAACTCTTGTCCGAATGAGACGCCCATCAAATAAAAGGGAACTAATTGAGGCTATAATTGTTTTCTGGCATCATGTAATAACGAAAGAAGAGCTTAAAACTCTTGTCGGCTCAATGAAACGTTGATGTGAAGCTGTAATCAAAAATAAAGGGTACCCTACTAAGTACTGATAACTCACTGCAGACATCACTATCTAATGTATATCGATAACTATTATCATTTAACTTTTTTTGTATTGCAAATAATTGAATTTTGTGTTTTGTATTGAATTCAATAATAAATTCTCTTTAAAATGATATATACAAGTTTGCATTTTGTGAAACATGACGTTTTCTATAAGCATACAAAGTTCAAAAACCAAAAAATTTCCAAAAGTGTCCACAGTTTTGGCCACCACTGTATATACACATGGACATTTTAATTTTAAAATAGAAACCATCTGTGGATAGTGTAATAAATGCTTAAGATACATTGTACTTTCTTTTAAAATATTCTGTTTTAGATCAACTAGCTATTACAAATTTTTGAGATCTTTCCCTTGGTTGCAACTTCTAGAATTCAACCAGTGCTTTGTTACTTATTCTAAAAAAATTATTAGTAGTATTGGTGTATATGAAACTGTTTCAAATTTTACATTTTTACTGTATTTACTTAAAAGTTTTTAACTGAAACATGTAATTATCATTCTTTGTCAGCATATGGTATTTTGTGAGGAAAATGAACAAAACATCTGTGCTTTAAAAAAAGGGAGAAGGAGAGAGATCTTCAGCATGTGCACAAAACTTTCTAAATTTTTTTATTATTATTTCAATGCTCATATTTTGACCATAATGATTTTACGTTATTAAATATTTAAATACTTTCTTATTATTTGCACCTCAACTGAAAAGCTAAAAACTTATTGGTGAATTTAGAAAGAGGTGTTCTTTTGGGGGGTATATTTTTGCATGCATTTAACAATGCATCTAATGCTGCATTTTTTTTTTTTTTTTTCTTTCATACACCTAACTGTTTTGAGTTTCTCCCCACCCCATGCTGTTCATCCTTTGTACACAGTGATCTGTTTTTACTTTAAAAAAATAATCAGAACTGCACAAACTCACCATCATCCACAATCTCTGCATTGTGCACCATCAGCAAATACTGATTTCCCAAATACAATTGAAATTTCAATGTACGTCCCAACATAATGAAAATGAGAGGGCAAATTCTATGGTTCAATTACGATTCATTATGATGAAAACAAATGTACTCAGTGCAAAAAGAAATACTAATCATAAAAATGACTGTTGAATTTCAATAATGCTAATCCATTGCTACATGCATGGCTGGATAATTGATATGAATACTTTTTGACGTCACCATGGGTTGGCATATAAATATTTTTTGGTAGTGTTATTTTTTGATAGCTTCTTGTGGATGTGAATAATCAAAACTTATCAATATTCATAATATTATCCAATGATGGTGTGAGCATAACTAATCATTGTGTGGCTTAAAATAATCAACTTTTTTTTTTTCATATTAGGTGTCAAAGATGGTCAAATGGTTCGAGTGCAAATTACCAAAAAGAAAGAACTCTTTGTTACATTTAAGGTAACCCTTACTTTCACTGTTCTTAAAATTGTTATTCTTTACTATAAAAATGCTTGCAATCTAACAGCATAAAATGTATCTGAAGTTGTTAAGACATATATGCCATTATTTCTCCAGGATTTTTTGCTGTACTGGGAAATTAGTTATTCCCCCTGTATAAAACTTCATATGATGTTGGGTCTTCTGTTTTTTCCCTTAAATGTACAGTGTGTCTGAAAAACAAGAGATTTGTTATGTTACCAAGCTACTTCAATTTAGAAAGAAATGAAACAATATAATTTATTGTGGTCTTTCAGTTTATATTGTCTAATTTAAATCTGTGTGTTGTTTATGCTCTGTCTACTGCATTTTTTGCATTCTGTCCTGAGTAAATGTGGTTTATTTTAAAATTATTTAGTGCAGATACCTGAACCAGGGTAAATTAATAAAAAAGTGCACATCTTAAAAAATAGTTAAGTGCAATTTCTGTGATTTGGTCACATGTTTTGTTCTAGTTGCAAAAATATTAGTATGTTTCTAATACCCCATCAATCTTACCAATCGAGTTTTAAATTGGAGATTAATGTATTTGCGTAAGATTAAACAACAAGCTGTATGGGAGCCATTTGGGATAGGATAAAGTTGCCAGAATAGATCTTAATTAAGTCAATCTGCTGCTCAGACTTAGTATTCTTTCAAGGGCCATGAAAGTCTATTTTTTTTCTTGTTTTGTCATAGAAAATATATTTATAATGAATTATAGTATTATTATATATGATGAGTCCTCTAAAACATGAGCCAGGTTTGGGTAGTAATCAAGCCCCTGGGTAAGAAAATGTCCAGCACTAGTTCAAGGTTTCATAATAAGTTATATATATACAGTAAAAGTCTTTAATCTGGACGTCCATAATCCGGAATGATCTATAATCCGGACCTCAAAGCTACAAACTTCCTACGCATGCGCATAATACGTTTACGCATGCGTGTTTAATGTATAACGTTCAGTATAAACTAAGCTAAAATTATCTAATTATCTATTTCAGTTAATGTTGCAGATTGCGTTGTTCCTCAATCTTTTAATTGGATCCGGCTTATTATTTTTTGCACACTGCTAGAGCAATTTTATAAAAGTAAGCTTGAACTTTCCAATTATGTCAAAAAGAATTTCCGGTTCTGGAGCTGCCAAAGGATCTACAAAGGGAAAGCATGTTTCAATGTCCATCAAACAAAAAGTGGAATTGCTGCAAAAAATGGATAAAGGCATATCCTTTGTTTCTGTAACCATTCCGAAATCTGTTTATCAATTTCACGCTGCTCTGTGGAGAGGGGGACATCACGGCGTTGAATGACTGGAAGTTGATCTGTCAGCACTATCCTCATCTTCAGGGCAGATGTTTTTATTTTATTCGGCTTATAATTCCTTACTAAATGTAGTATTTTATCTTGATGTACTCCGTCTTTGATATGATTTAAATCAAATTCCTCGTCATTATAAATATCATGAATACACATCAAATAGTTTTCTGGTTGCAATTTTCTAATTTCGACTATGTGTAATGTATGCTTTACGCATGCGCATGTTGAAAGAAATGTTTAATAAAGTAAACAAATAAATATTAAACTCTTTTTTTTTTTTTTTGTAAGTTTTGATACCCTTTAGATCATAATTGTTCTTTATTTCATAAATTACGGTTTCATATTTTTAATTTTATAATTTCTGCATGTCATCTTGCCAGATTTAAATTGATGATCTATAAAGTTTTTCTCCTTGTATTTCTTTACGAATTATATATATATATATATATATGTGTGTGTGTGTGTGTGTGTGTAATAAAATCAAACTCAAAAGTGAATGTCCAGCAGAAATTTTGATGGCATAAAAGTGTTGATCCATAATGAATAGGAAAAAGGAGGCGAAGGCAGATTAAATCTTCATTTTTTATTTCAACAAACATGTTGGGGTCACAATCAAGTTAGCACATTAATTGTGCCTATTCCAAAAAGTATGCATTTTAGATAACTTTGCAACAAAAAGAAAGCAGCAGACAGACAGCAGTCCAGCTCGGCCAAAGCGTTGAAAGCAAGTGCGATGGTCAGGGTGAAATCTTAATTCAGACTGGCTGAATTTTAATTCTCAATGCATTTTGATTGGATATTTAATATTGCTGTAAAATCATTATTGGCTGCTTGAGTTTTTGTTCCATTTACATCACCAGAATTATGTAATTATATGACATGGATTAATTTGGAAATTAGAAATGACGCAGTGCAGAGGTTACTATGTTTAGAATTGAGAAGGGAAATTTACATTGCTTATTTAATCTTTTACATGCTCTTTATTTTTCTCACATATTGTTACAAATTTTGTATCTGTAAATAATTATCTATTTATAATTTGTATCTGTAATAAATTTGTGTAAGTAAATAGTTTTAGTGAAATTATACTATTTTTTTCCTATAATGCAACATGAAAACCTTTAAGAGGCGATGCATTGCTCGTAAGTGAGAATACAGGGGCAAATCTATTTAACATTGAGTAAATGGCTATCTCGCCAAGCTGGCAATGGTTTGGGCAACTAATTTTTGTTGTCAAATTTGGCGAGAACTCCCAAAAGTTGCCAAACTTGCCACTATTTTGGTCCAGTCCCTGTATAACCATAATATGTATCGTAATTGAATAATTATAACTGATGCTATATAGCTTAACCCTTATATGCCTTACAATAATTTCAAGAAGTACTAAAGATTTATCAGTGGCAGGGTGAAAACTATATAAGACTGGAGAGAGCATCTGCTCTCAGTTGTTAGTTCAAAGCTGAATTCAGAGTATTGAGATATCTCTCTTAGCTGTTTAGATGCACTTTGCATTGCATTGTTTTTAACATTCTGTGTAGTCTGAACTGTAACTTATGATTGTACCCTGTAATACTATGAACAGCTGTATGAGTATTTCTGTGAAGAGTTCCAAAATTGCAAAGTGTTTCTTTTGGTAAAATAAATTTTATCAAATGATATGCTAATGGCAACAAATAAATCCTCGTTGTCATAGATTACTTCACTAAGTGGCCTGAAGCTTATCCTATTCTTGATTAAAATGCTGTAATGGTATCAGAGGTAATGATACAGCTTTGGATTTTCAGGTTCGTAGTGCATCTTCAGTTACATTTCGATCAAGGAAGAAATCTTATCTCAGATGTCATTAAAGAATTCTGCAAGCTACTCAGCATTGACAAAACTCAAACGACACCTTTACATCTCTAGTTAGATGGTATGGTAGAGAGGTTTAATTAACCCATCCTTAATAATCACTCGCTGGTGGTTTCCAGAAACCAGCAAAATTGAGACAAGAAGTTATCTCAGTTTTTACTGGCCTATTGCAGTGCTGTCAACAAGACTACTTACTAGCTATTCAACGTCTCAGATGCTCTTTGGTCGTTACTGCCTTCATTCGTTTCATCTGACCTCTTGTTTGGTCCCCCTTCCTGAGGAGTACATCCAAGATGTCCAAGCATGGTTTAAAGTGATGCTTAATTTTGTGCTAGGTTGAATCGACTTGGCAATGAAGATGAAGACCTGATATGGCATGAGAGCTGCAGAACATCCATTTAACAAAGGTGACAAGGTATAGTTATAGAATCTGATTTAATGGAAAGGACTCTCTCCTAATTACAGTCACCTTGGGAGACCAGGTGACACACAGTCCTAAACAGGCTGAATGAGTCGTAGTTCAGATCCACAAGTCATCAAATTTTAAGCCTTAAGTCGTTCATTATAATAGGCTAGCCCTTTACTATAACCATAGTAATGTAGCCCCCATAGTGTATATAAGATAAATAGTGTACTAAAATCATGATCCTATTTGTTTTCTAAATTTTGTAAATTTATACATTTATTTATTGATTTAATGCTATTTACTAAAATTATTGTTTTAGTATGGCAATGATTTCCTGTAGTTGTAAATATGTCTTCATGTCCAGAGATTGTACTATCCAGGATGTGTAGTACTTGAGAACGGGACAGTGTTACCAATTTTATATATAAGTAAATAATTTTTGTGAAATTTTCGTATAATGTAACATGAAAATTTAATGAGGCGATGCTTTTCCAGAAAAGTAAGAATACAAGGGCACGTCTATTTAACATTGAGCAAATGTCTTCTCACTGGTCTAGTGGTATCTCACCAAGCTGGTTGGTTTTGGTGACTAATTTTTATTACTGAATTTGGCAAGAAACCATCAAAAGTCACCAAATTTGCCAGCCATTTGGCGACATTTTGGTCCAGTCAACCAAAATGTATAACCGTAATGTGTATTGTTACTGAATAATTGTAATTGATGCAGGTTATGGCTACTTTGTGTCTGGCCATCATGGCCTTCCAGTAATTTTGAGAAGTATGAGAGATTTCTCAGCGGCCGGATGACAACTATCTAAGATGGGAGAGAACATCTGCTCTCAGTTGTTAGCTCAGAGCTGAATTTGGAGTATTGAAATAGCCATCTTAGCTTCTCTCTTCAGATGCATTTTGCATTGTGTTGTGTTTAACGTTCTCAATAGTTTGAAGTGTAACTATGACTGTACTCTGTAATATTGTGAGGAGCAGTATGAGTACTTTTGTGGAAAGTTCCAGAACTGCGAAGTGTTTCTTTTGGTAAAGTAAATTTTATCAAGATATCATCGGTTCTGTGTGCATTCACGAACCCTCACACACTCAACAGTATACATATTAATAGAGAGATAGATATAGATATATGTATTTACCCCAAATTTTGTGCACAAAATTAATTTTATATACTCACTGTGAAAGAACACTTTAGCAACCAAAAATTTCTAATTTAAATGTTGTTTAGAACAAACTCTGTTTTTTATTATAGTCCATTTGTTTAAAAGTGGGATTTACAGAATTGAACAAAATATTTATTAGGTATACTAATTTATTACATATAGCTCTTCTTCTGATTAAAAGTATTTGAAAAAATGTGAGTATAGATTTTATTTCCTTAAGTAATACTCCTAAACATATATTTTTAATAACATATTTTACCCTTCCACTATCGCCAAGAAAATCAGTGCTGGGAGACATGATTCACTAAATATAATTTATTAATTATATTTACTGAATCATGTCATTAATTTCAATTTATTAATTTCTTACTAATTGGGTTAGTCTTACTAACTTTCTTATTCTCATTGTTGCAAATCTTACCATAAATTCCTCTGTTTATTTTGACGAACTTCACAATTGGAAGTATGCATCTTGAAACAATATTTAAGAAAGTAAACCTTTTCCTAAATACTCTTTATATCATCTCCTAGCTTTTGTTCTACAGTTGTACCTTTTCTAGGTTTCCAAAAGCAGGTACTTTAGAAGAGATGGAGTTGATGTTCATTCTGATGCTACCATTAGTGTATACCAAGCATTATTAGGTGGCACAGTTAGAATTCGAGGACTATATGAGGAACTTGTTCTTAAGGTTGGTGCTTTTTAATCACTTTCTACTATTTAATTATCTTTTATTATTATTTTAACCTACCATTTATATATTGCAGATAGCTCCTTGTACTTCATCACATGCACGCATAAAATTAAAAGGGAAAGGAATCAGACGTGTAAATAGCTATGGTTGTGGAGACCACTATGTAAATATCAAAATAAAAGCACCATCGTATGTTTTTTTTTTTCCCACTATATATAGATTTTAACATTTTACTATCTTTAGAATCTATATCTTTGCTTTTAAATTTGTAAAATTTTATGTGAGATCAATTTAAAAAGTAAAATAATAAGTCTTATTACAGACAATCTCACTGGCAAATATTTAGATACATAGTCTTTAATCATATCTGAATGTTTGTTTATGAGGTACACTGGCATATAAGAAATCAGCATCAAGTTCCTAAGCACTTCATGACAGCTTTCTGAATATCTGTATTGGCTGTGAATTGCCACCGAAGTGTTTTTTCAAAGATCCAAAAAGTTAAAAATTTCTGACTGCCAGTTGCATGGAGGATGATTTAGTACCTTCCAAGTGAAACATTACAATGGATCGTATAGTAATGGCCAAAAAATAGCTTTTGAGACCCAAAATCGTGAACTTTTTCATGCAACCAACTTAATATGCAACAATAATTGGCAACAGTTACTGTCACTCCCCACATGAGGAAAGTGTCAGCATCTTGCCTTAGTGGTTCTGAAAGGCCATCAGCATAACTTTCTTTGTGAATGAAGGTTTTTTTTTTTTTTTTTTTTTTTTTTTTAATTTCTTGGGTGGGTGTAAAGATGAGTTTTTCCATAACACAGATTCTTGAACAGTCCTATCCTTGAGGTTTTGAAATCATTTACGAGTTAGTTAGGCACTCAGTGTGAACGCTTGTTGTGATAGCCTCATGGCTTATGAATGATACTCTGCATACTGTCAGCTAAGTTACTTAGTTCTTCAGCACTCTCATTAATCATGTTTAATAAAAGCTACAGTCTGAGCCTGACTAAGGCAGGGGCATACGGGGCAGTTGCCCCGGGCCCCCACATCGGAGATTTGTCAACTCGAATAGAAAGTTTATTTTATGTTTCCTTCTTTAATAAACTTTTTTTAAACAAAATATCAGATCAAAAATATGTAATACTATGACAAACAAAAGGCAGAATTAGATGCACTTATGTTATGAAGACGATGTGGAATGCATCGGAAAAAGCTTTTTATCCTATTCTCTAAGTGCATAGGACTTGTTTATGGTCTTTCTGTTAATTGATTAAAATTGCTAAAAAAGTCTTTACATTTTCTAATTATAAATTTAAATAGCACTTTTGTCAAATTTTGACTCTTCAGATATGCTATATCCTTTTAATAATGAACATAGAATTGTCAGAAAATCAATAAAATGGACAGAATGATATTTCATCTGACCATTGGAGAAGGAGGGAAGCTTTTATAGCTATTCTAGGTTCTAGTAAATTTTCTTGTTATATATCTATAATGAGGTGAAAAATTTAAATACCTCTATAAAGTTTGGTTCTTCATTACTGAAGTAGTGAAGCAGAGGGAGATCCCCAAAGAAGTTTTTGCCCAGACCCCAATTAGACTAAGTTGGGCCCTGGCTACAGCAGTGGCGTAGCGACAGGAGGGCAAAGGGGTGCATGATGCCCCGGGCACCGCTCGTAGAGGGGTGCCAAATGGTCTCCAAACAAGATTTTCCGAAAAATTTCAGTTTTTATTTTGTTCGATTTCTGGAAAATATATTTAAAATTAATAACTATTGTAATATAATTAATTATTATTTCTTGATTTGTCTGATAAAATGTGTAATAAAATGTTTGCAGTACATCAACCAAAACGTTCTTTCTGACCATTTTATTTCTCCAAAGTAGAGATATATTTTTATTTTTTTTAATGAAATGCACGCATATCTCTCGCTTTTTATTTTAAAACGATAACACAACCTTCTCCCGAATTTCTCAAACATATCTAGTTTCCAAAATCCGATTCCATAATCTGGAAATGACATTTTGGGAAAAATCCTAACGCTTCCGCTACAATGGATTGCATTTGACTCTCCTGTAAACGACTGATGGCGTTCTAGTCTACTGATTCTACTAAGTCATCTTGCTGAGACATTGGACTGACTGCTGCAAACAGTCAACTCTTGTCAATTGTTTTTAATCTCCTACTACAAAAGGAATGCTGCAGGTCGCTTTTCACTCCTTATCTTAAACTCATAGTTTTCGACGTCACAGACTAAATTTGCATATTCCCAATTTTTTAAACGTTATAATTTCCCTTTATAATCTCTTCTATTTCCTTTTATCAAATAGGTTATCGATTATATGGTTTTCATACAAAACCCACAATATTCCCTAATTGTTTTGAGCAGTGAATGTTACTTCATGACGTTACTCCGCAGTAGAAAAGAAACGGAACCTAAAATCCCACTACAGATCTATAGAGAAAATGTTTTTCCAAACCTAACAGTCGCACTTTTTAAATACTACTTACTATTTCGTTATCAAATGCTAGCTATGAACGTTTGTTCAGCAAATTAAAATAAATTTTCACATATTTACAATCAACGATGGGCCAAGATCCCCTAAGTCATGTAGCATTTTTAAAGTGTGGAAAGAGAAAAATTTGAAAGGATCGACTTTGACGAAGTAAATGATAAATGCGCTTCTTCCAAGGTAAGAAAAATGTATACATAGTAATTAATTGTATTATATTAATTAATAAATCATAAGTGCCCAATCAAGTCGAGGTGCACGTGTTTGAAGTAAGATGAGGGCAAATTAAAACTTTTCAGTTGGCTGGTGGTAGTGTCTGACAATTTTTTATCTTTGGCACTCCAAGCACCAGTTGTGTCCAGTTGGCTATGTCTTTTGCATGCTAGGCCATACAAAACGTTTCTGTATCAGTTTAATCGAAGCCTTGATGCCAAGATGTGACAGACGATGTAACTGACTAAAAATGGACATGGCAAAACCCTGGAGGGAACATAAAGTCGAAATCTTGAATCCCTGAAAAATCACAATAAAGTGATTTTTCAGGTTACAGCTGCATAGGCTGCAAGTTGAGATTGGTGGAAGATTTGCTTTTCAAGAGGGTTTGTAGTTCTGAATCCCGGTGTTGTTCATCCGCAAGGGCAGCAAAGTTTATTGGCGAAGGAACGGCTAGTTGTTCAATATGAGACAAGGTGTCTGCAACAATATTCTGCGAACCCTCAATATAACGGATATCTTTTGATATATATTGCTCGTAGCATATGTCGAAAAAATTTGACAGCTTCATAAATTCCTAATAATTCGCGATCGTGAGTGCTGTATCTGGTTTGTGCTGGTGAGAGTTTTTTAGAAAAATATGAAAGTGGTCTCCATAATTCTTGATCTTTCTGTTGTAAAACTGCTCCTATACCTGTTGTTGATGCATCATCGTGTAGAGACATTAGGTTATTTTTTGGAAGCAGAAGATATGAAAAATATGCAACGGCCTTCGCCGGGAATCGAACCGCGGACCTCTGGAGTACCGGCCCAGCGTGCAGAACCACTACACCACAAAGGCACGCTAGGAAACCGGGAGAAATACCTTATAAACGTAGAGTGATAATTGTTTAGATGCGGAAGGATACTGCAAATTTGGTGCCGAAATTAAATCATTTTTGCATTTTTGGAACGCTTCGCGAGATTCTGTAGTCCAGGTTATAACACGTTTATCGTTTTTCTTCCTTCCAACCGAAAAAGAATTTAGAGGTGCTTGTATGGTTGCTGCATGAGGTAAGAAACGTCGATAAAAATTGAGCATGGCAAGATTCTTAAGTCCTTCACTGAAGATGGTTCCGGTAAATCGTAGATAGCTGTGACTCTGTCTGGAAAGGGTCGAACGCCATCAGCGGAAATTTCATGACCAAGAAAGGATACTCTTGGTTGGCCAAAAATGTATTTGGAAGGATTAAGACTGACATCGTACCTTTGAAAATGTTCAGAAACTGTTCTCAAATGTGATAGGTGTTCTTGCTCTGAAGAGGAGGTGATTAAGACGTCATCAAAATAAGGTACACAAAAGTCGAGGCAGATTAACACCTGATTCATGAAGCATTGAAACGTTTGAGCAGCATTGCAGCAGTTTTGGGAATATCAGCTGGGTTAACGGGCACTTGGTGATACGCCCGCTCAAGATCAATGGTTGTAAAAATAGCTTTTCCATCTGAAACTTGCATACAGTCTTGAATGTGCGGGACTGGGTAACGATCAGGAATTGTAGCTGCATTTAACCAACGATAATGGCCACACGGGCACCAGTTACCATTTCGTTTCCGAACTAGATGGAGCGGACTGGCCCATTAACTTTCTGAAAGACGGCAAATTCCCTGTTCCATCATGTATTGAATGTATCATGTCCTTTTGTTCGTGAAAATGTGGTGGAACGACAGAAACATCAGTCCCGGTGTCCACAAGAAACCTTAAGCCCGAATTCTTTTCGATGACAGAATTTCGGCGTGCAAAATTTCCGGGCGCTGTCGTTCACTGACTTCGAGCGACGGCCCTTCTCGTTTCCCTGGTCATTATAACGACACAGTAGGCTGGCGTTTGTTTGCCTTGTTTCTAAATTTGTGGTGGTAAAAACAAATAGCCGTGTTACGAAGGACCCGGTCTTTTCATAACTTTTCTTCAGTGGGCTACCGACATGGTATTTCGACCACGGGATGTGGAGCGGTTGCGCTGAAAAGGTTCAGCTTGGATGGCTACTAACTGAGCAGCGTGTTTGGACAAATCATCAATTTGAGCCTGTAACGCCACAGTACCTGGACCAGGAGCCTGCACTGCGTGTATTTGCGCTGGAATGGCCAACTTGTGAATTTTATCAGCGATTTCGGGAAGATTTTTAAGTGGCTCCCTACTGGCCGCTAAAATGGTTTGCATGTTAGATGGGAGTCTATGTATCCATAATGTTTTAAGAATGTTATCCGTTAGGTTACCGGTGGCTAAGTCTGACATTTTAGACAGCAATTGAGAAGGCCTCCTATCACCCAATCGTAAAGCGTGCCACAACTGCTTGATTCTGTCTATGATTCTTCACAAACAGAAATTAATATTTTTTAAAGATTTGTATTTGTCCGTCGCCGGTGAATTCAAAATTATTTCACAAGCTGATTGCAGTACCTCTGATTCTAACATGGAGATCGCTGTATAAAATTGAGTTTCGTCGGCAGTAATGTGACTTAACTGCGCATCCAATTGAATGAACCATAACGATGGGTCTCGGCAACAAAAAGGTGATGGCTTAACTGCCACTCGCGCCAATTGTGAAGCAGCATCGTTGTCAACCACTTTATATCAATCAAATATGCACAATAATAATATGTATAGGAATTCACTATGTTTATAGTGACACAGTTTCTTGGTACTTGAAATCGGAGAAATTGGCGGCTCGAATGCTGTAGACGATACATATATCCACTGAAATTATGACAGAAATATGTTGACTCACCGGAATGCGGCACAACGCTTTAAATGACAGGTGAAATGTCTTACTTGCATCTCATCACACTGGATAACTTACTGCTGCTCAGAATTTTGACATATGAACTCCATATTCGTGCAACATTGAAGGTTGCTGTTCGTAATAAGTACGTGTCACCAATTATGATAGTACAATTTTTTGAAACAGATAATTAAATAATTATAACAATTGAATAGAATAAATATAATTTTGTTCTTTGTTGCTATGGGTTACCAGACTGGCAGAGTTGAGTTGTAGTAGGCAAGTTGCTACATATCTATTTATCTATAATGTGTATTAAACTTTTAATTGTTTAAAACTTGCACTTTTTAAAAACACTTGAACTAATTCTAGATCAAGACACAATAACACGCCGAATAAATACTAATTCAGAAGACAAACAACAAAAATCAGCGTTATATTTATAAAATTTTCACAGGACTAGTTTCGATGGTTTTACCGAACCACTATCCTCAGCTGCAAAACCGCAAAAAAAAAAAAAAAAAAAAAAAAATCGTAATTCTAGATCATTGTATGTCTGATTTTTCCGTCGACACAGATGCATTTCCAAGGATAGTGTAGTTAGGTAGTGACTATTCTTAATATATTTTTGAGTATTTTATGGCAGATTCAGCATTTTATTATTATTTGTATTATTTTCTTATTACGAATACAGTCAAAAGTCGTTAATCCGGACTCGTCGGGACTTCGGCGATTCCGGATTATCGATTTTTCCGGATTATAGATCATCAGTTTAAATCTCGTAAGATGGCATGCAGAAATTCTAAAATTAAAAATATGAAACTGTAATTTATGAAATAAAGAACAATTATGATCTAAAGGGTATCAAAATTTGCAAAAAGAAAAAGCTTAATATTTATTTGTTTACTTTATTAAACATTTCTTTCAATGTAAGTTGTTTAAGTTTTGCTTCGTTTCATGTGATTAATAATTTCTCTTTAATTCTATTAAACAGACATAATTTCTTGTTCAGTTACAAAGTTCCGCTGTTCAAGTCCTATAATTGCTGTGTCTAGAACACCGATTAATTTGTCAATCGAAATTTTTTCGTTTTCAATAACCTCTGTCACTTTCTTCGCTATCGAAAGCGAATTATAATGACGGGGAACTTGTTTTAAATCATATCAAAGACGGAGCATATGGAGATGAAATACTACATTTGGTAAGGAATTATAAGCCAAATAAAATAAAAACATCTGCGCTGAAGATAAGGATAGTGCTGACAGATCAACTTCCAATTCATTACGCGCCGCCGCGGCGATCCCCCGCCGAGCAGCGTGAAATTGATAAACAGATTTCGGATTTCAAAACATACTTTCGCTTTAAATCCTTTACATATTAACAAATATATATCGGAAATTCTATTTGATATAATCGAAAGTTTAAGCTTACTTTTATAAAATTGCTCTTACAGTCTGCAAAAAATAATAAGTCGGATCCAGTTCGAAAATTAAGGAACCACGCAATCATCAACATTAACTGAAATAGATAATTAGATAATTTTACCTTATACGTCCATTATACATAAAACGCGCACGCAAAAACGTATTCTGCACTTGCGCACACTCATATGCGCAGTCGTAAAAGGTCTTACGCGCTCGCGTAAACGCCTATGCGCATGTGTCAACGCGGCGCATGCGCAGAAAGTTTTTAGTTTTGAGGTCCGGATTATAGATCATTCCGAATTATGGGTGTCCGAATTAACGACTTTTGACTGTATATTCTATACATTATATTACTGAAATTTTTTACTGTGGGGGGGGCGCCAAAAAGGTATTTTGCCCCGGGCGCCAGTCATGCTTGCTACGCCACTGTGCTACAGTAATGCAAGGATTGTCATTTGTAGTGCCGACCATGTCATTGCTTATCATGCACATCTTTCAACTTGGTACACCAATTAAAAACTTATTTGCTGATATATTAGCATCATACATTTTAACAAGCTGACAATAAATTTCTGCTGCTAAAGTTTGCTTTAGACACAGTGATCCTATTATACTTTGCATTTCAACATTTAACTATGTTTCCTTTAGTGCAATCATTTTCCAAATGATATTTCACTCTGATAACAGAACATCTGTGCACTATCTACTAGCAGCATGTGAATAATGTGGTCATTTGCTGACCTCCAGGCAGGAAATTTGAATAACATTAGAATTATAACACTCATGAATATTTTTGTTATTTTTTTTAATTGCCTTCATTTGTATAGTAGCATAAAACTGATTGTTACATTCTGAAAGTTGGCTTTTAAATATATAAATCTCTTGATTTGTAATTCATCAAAATTTTTATTTTAGGTTTGTTGCATTTTATTAAGTGAGAAAAATATTTTTGTGCCTTTCCACAAGCCTGTAATTCTATTACATATTTAAAGTGGCCAAAGTGTACAACTTACTTTTATGTTAAAAATTATGAAATAATGGGGAAAAATATGTTTTTAACTATAAATGTGTAAAATTTTATTTAAAAAACAAACTTATTTGCTTAATCTCAAAATTTTAAGTAACGCGTAAGAAATTTATTTCACATGGTTCTTAGAAATTTTTACTTACCATTCATTTAAACAATTCTCTTTTTTTTTTTTTTTTTTTTTTTTAAGTAGTCTGAATTTGAGTTGACATAATTCACACTAGCTTACTGAAGTACTTTCTTTAATGATATAAAAATATAAATAGTACTTAACACATTTTATGAAAAACATTCTAATGATTACCAAAAAAAATCAAAATAAAGTAATTAGAATCTCGAATTAATTTATGCTGAATATTCGATATTTAACACAATAGAATTAAACAGTTACCTTAAACAATCATTTTTCCATATCTTGGCATGACTGAAAATTTCATTTCCTTATTGTTTTACTTTAAATATTTGTGCATGTTTTATTTGCTTTTTTAATTGCATTGTCCTTAAACTGCTTAAATATGAATTTTCAGGCAACTATCTGCTAAACAGAGAGCTGTTGTTGAAACATTTCTTGCAGAGAATGAAAACAGTACCCCTGGCACTACTGAAATGTGATGGAATAAAATGGTATGTTTTGTTTTAATAGTTCTACTAGATACTTTAATAGTTTCTACTAAAAGAATCTTTTTTCATGTTGTGGTCCATCTGTTTCAGTGAGCACAAGCAATTTCTTGAATGATGTGCACTTTAATAAAATATGGTTTTCACTTAGCAAATAAAATAATTTCCATTACAAAATATTGGAACTATGAAAAGAAGTCACTATCGATCAATAAGACATACAAATTTTAGTAAAAAAGTTAATATATTAAATGCCCCGTGTTTGTACAGGTTATGGATGATGTACTATCTTCTAAGGGTTATTGTCTCCAAGGTATGCTGAGCAAACATGGTGAAAGCCAGCACCTGTATGCATCACATATTATTATCATGTGTAAGATGACATGTGATAATAACACGTCATCTTAGTTTTTACAGAAAGTTTTAACATGCTGTCTAAGAATATCATCATAACGAATGGATTTCTGTGGTTGATGCAGTTATTTCAAGTTACAAAAAACAGCTACAGAATGCCATGGAAAGTTAAAGACAAATTTTAGACTTAGACAAACTGCTCCTAATAGCCCTAGCTTTCTTTTAAATATTTTCTTTTATATTATAGGTTATGAAACCTGGGTTTTATTTTCAGAATTGGAAATGAGGCTGAAAAGGCAAAGACTGCAGACAGAGAAAAAAATTCAAGGAGAGTAGTAGGCCATTCTGAATACACTGGGAAAATTGCTACAGCAATGAGTAGCACCATCAGTGTCATTGCTACACCTCCGAAAAATAACTATTCTGAAGGTGACAGAAGCAACTGATAGTATTTTATGTCGTCAATTCAGGAACTTTTTGACTAAACCTCATAACATCTTTCATTCATTTTCTATATTGTAGACTAACATTATGCATTCGCATAACAAAGTAAACTTTAAAAAATAATCTGTATTTCTTCGTAACATTTTACAGCTATTTTATACAATTTTTGTAATAAATAAAGAACATGTCTAACACAATGAACTATGTTGATTAAAAAAAATTATAATTCTACACATTATCACTGCATCAAATATTAAAACAAATGATAATCATAAAATTTTGTAGTCGTCTATAGCTTATAAAAATAATTTTTAAAAACAAAATTGTCTTTTTTAATGGCAGTTTTTCCACTGAATTCTTTTTTAAAATTTAGAAGTTCCTTATGTTAAAAAATGCAGTGGGCAGTAGAAAATTGTTATTGGTCATTTCAGTTTTTTCATACCCTTTGAGATTATCTGCTGCCCCCCCCTTGAAAACTATTCGCAAGGCAATGTGCTGTGTCGACAAAATAGAGAACCAATGACATAACCGAAATATATTTATATGGCAACCCAAGTATGCACGAGACAGACAGTGCAGATTTCCACTATTAGATTCGACTGCCGTTAGTGTTTGTAGTTGTGGCATTGAGAGTACTTTTTACCCTTGTAAAAAATCATCATGGGACTGTGGAGTTTGCTAGATGATGAAAAAGAAATTTTTGTATTTCTCCAGATATATTTCATTTTGCCTAACAGCAGAGAATGGAAAATTTTGCATTCTATAAAGTTGTATTTCATAAACAATCAAAATTTATGCAATTCCCTTTTTTTAGGGGGAGTTACATGATACTGTCTGCTTGGGGAGAACAACAGTATGTCCAGTGCCAAGTTGTGAGTTTCTGCAATTATCTGATTTTTTTTTTTTTTTTTTTTTTTTTTTTTTTTTAAGCTAAAGTAGATTATTGTATGCATAGGGAGAAGAGTGAAAAAAAAAAAAGATAAGCCTTTTTTTTTAATGGATGTTTCTTGCATTTTTAATTTTGTTTATTGGTTACTGTTTTATGTTATTCTTAGTGCAGTGCTGTTTTTAGTCTTTCACATATTAGCTTAATGAAAATTTTACTGATTTTTCAGGGTGGATACTTAGAAAGTTCCCTTTTTTAATAAACATTATGTTTGAGAAATATGTAAATAGCCATATATATTATTATGTAATTGTTATGGCTGATTATGAATTGCTGGGAAAGTTTCTCTATCATATTGAAATTTATGGTCATTCAGATTGCCCTCTTTGTAATGTGATGGGACCTATGTATAGAATCTGTCTGCATCATTGTGAGGTATTTCATGATGACGGAAAGATCGACTTGTATCAGCAAGGTGGAAAATTTTTGAAGTACTGTTTTTCACCATGCATTAACTCAAATGTAATTAACATCTGTTATTTAATTCTTGGTAATTTCTAATTTTATAGTTTGTTTTCCATTGGAAATAAAATTTAAAAAAATCATGTTATTCTTATTGTACATATAAGTAATAGGCTAACCAGTGCACAGATGGTTCAGATTTAATGGCAAATCTGTCTTTGTAAGAATAAATGAAAAGGCTGAATTTGAAAAGTTTTCAAGTGACAATGTATGTGAAAGAAAAAAGAAAAAATTATTTTAAGCCAGTTTAATTTTTTTCATACAACATATATTTTTGCTAGTTTTGTAGAATTTTCTGATATGAAGTATTCTAATATTTAATTTACGTATATTTCAGGTAAAGCTGTCTGGCAGTTATGTTTATCAGGGCTTTCTTTCTTAGTCATGATGCTCAAACTAAGTTTGAAATTGTACAGAAAGAAAAATTGTTAACTTACAAAAAAAAAAAAAAAAAAAAAATTATATGCTTTTACTTTAAATAAAAATTTTATATTTATTTTCTGACAACTGTTAAAACATTTACAGAAATAAAATTTTAAGAAATTATTTTTTGTATTAATTTTGTATCTAGTTGTACTTCATGCACTAATTATTCTTTGTGGAAAAATGTTTTTTTTTTTTTTTATGAGTAAATCCATCTGCCAAGTTTTAGACTGTCAGTTTACTAGAAAATTTGATACATACTTTCACTCTTTTTACCGAGCATGTTATTTTACTTTTACTCATTCTATTAACTAGTAACTTTTTCCCTTATTTTGTTTCTTTATGATTTACTTATGAGAATATATTTGTTGTTTGTGTATTTTTTCATGTATTTTCTTTATGCATTAAAGTTTCAGAAAGAGCAAATTTAAAAGCGAAATTTTCTGATAAAAACCTTACTGATTTACAAATTAAAATAAGAATAATATAATTTAAAAAAAAAAAAAAAAAAACTAAGTTGCAAAAATACTGCAGATTTTTCAGTGATATATTCAAGATGACCCTCATGTCTGGGTGCTGAACCCCAAACTTGTTTATAAGCAGCACAGGTTCCCAATAGCTGGCATTATAGCCTTGAACATTATACAGATTATACGATATCCGAACTCGTCGGGACTTAGGCAATTCTGGATTTGGGTTTTTTCCGGATATTAGATCATCAGTTTAAATCTAGTAAGATGGAATGTAGAAATTATAAAATTAAAAATAGGAAATAATGAAGAATTTATGATTTAAAGGGTATCAAAATTTACAAAAAAAAAAGCTTAATATTTATTTCTTTACATTATTAAACATTTCTTTCAATGTAAGCTGTTTAAGTTGCTTCGTTTTTAATGCTAGTACTTTCTCTTTAATTCTGTATACAGACATCATTTCTTGTTCAGTCATAAAGTTCCATTGTTCAAGTCCTGTAATTGCTGTGTGAAGAATTCCAACCACCCTCTGTCACTTCTTCACTATCAATAGCATTGTTTTCTGGATCTTGAACCATATTACAGATTTCGCCATCCGTTGATTGATGATTGGGGCATTGTCATCACAATGAAAAACTTCTTTTATATCATCTTCATTTATTACTGCTTCTCCACATTATTTTACAAAATCCATTAACTGGAAAATTTATCCGAAAACCTTCAAATTCGTGGCTATCATCTTCATCATCCTTACTATGAAATATGGTAGCTGTCCATAAATTATGCCAAGCATTTTTGAAAGCATCTGGAAACACATCCTGCCACGATCTTGTGATGCTCAACACAGCAGATTTTATGCTAAAATATTTCAAAAATTCTTGAATAGTCTTGCCATTAATCAAGAAATTGAATTTTAAAAATCTTACTTTATATATGCATTTCACAACGCACACTATTCTGATATTCATAGTCTGAATGATGGCCGTACAATTTGGAGGAAAGAATAATATAGATGCATTATCTTTCACTAATACTCTTAAGTGAAGTATGAATCTAACAGTTGTCTACAATCAGGACAATTTTTGTCTCATCAAGTAAACCAGCCGAATTCAAATGTTGCCAAGCCTTGGGTATGAAATGATTTTCAAACCAATCATTCATTAACACTTGTGTCATCCATGGTCTTTTATTTGCATGATGTATAAGAGGGAAAATCTTTACTCCTTTAAATGCTCAAAGTCGTGTATTTTTTCCGATTACAAAAAGTTTTTACTTGTGTGTTCCTGCAGCATTAGCGCACGTTAAAATTGTTAGTCTCGCTTTGAAATCTTTCACATTAGTTGGAGCCGTTTCTGTAGAGGTTGCAATGGTATTTTGCAGTACATATTGCCAGAAAAGACCAGTTTCATCAGCGCTGTCTTAAATATTTTTGCTTGAGCCATTAGCATTTGACCAATCAATAACATGCCCTCACTGCGATGCTGTCTGACCCCATTCAGTCATCACTTTGTCATGATCGTCACTTCTAGCATAACGAATAATATTTCCTTTATTCATTGCGAGTAATATACCGGAATTCACAAAAAATTCAAAAATTGAATTTTTCTATTTTCTAATGTCATATTGTTTCCTCACCAATACTGACTTTCCCATGCCATACTCCTTAAAGCGTTATCACATTAACTGTTTGTTGCCGGGACAAAACGTTTGTAGCAACAGTTCTGAGAAACGGCTTTTTTGGCGAAATAGGGTTACCATCTTCACTTGGCAAACAGGCTGAAAGCCAAACAAGAATCAGTTATCACTCAGATTGGCGAAAGTGACGTTTCCTTTCAAGTGACATTCGCTTCTTCGTTTTGTTTTGTATCGCTCACACGCTTTTCGTTTTAAACTTTATTGTTAGTAATGGAAGATAATAGAAAGGTGATTGCTATCAAGTTAATCACTTTGATCTCCACTCTGGCACTTCATGTAACAGATAAACACACTTCTGGTTATAGCAATCAATTACATCAGTAATAGCCAAATTCTGTATACACTAAGAATAGTTTAAAAACATGTGCTGGATAAGTCTATTTATCACACATCGCTTATGTGTATTTTCTGTTGTCTGCATTTCAATGAAAATTTGATGGCTCACTGGAAAATTTGTGACCTGGTGAAAGCATTTTCTGACTAACTTTATAGCTCATAATTACTGTTCTGTCCATTCAAATGACAAAAATCTATATGGCTGATATTTACCTCCTCACAGCCAGCAGATACTATTCAGCAAAATGAAGATCAAATAAAGCATATGAATACATGAGCAATCAAACATGTGCAAGTTAGAACACTGAGCGAGTTCTCAGTTCTGTACACTGAGTAGTTCTATGCGAGCCATAGAACACTCGGTAATGTACCTAAAACACATTAATTATACCAACTCTAGAAATTAGGTGTTCACATCATGAGTTTGTTTTATGGTTTGGTTTATTGAGATTACAGCAAAGCACACTAGGGCTATCTGCCTAAGGGAAGGGATGCCTTCGGGGAGGACTTTCTAAGGGAAACTGGCTCGTATACACATTACACATGGGGAAAACCACGAAAGCGTCCATGCAGCCAGCCCGTTCACGGGATTCGAACCTCGGACCGAACTACCAGTGTTCAGCGACTTTACCGCTCGGCCTCTGGTGGGCTCAGTTGGTTTTATGTGATTACCGCAAAGCCTCGAGGGATAACAACAGGAGGGATCCCTTTGTAGAAGGTTTTTTAAAACTGGCTCGTATACCAAGTTACAAATGGGGAAAACCAAGAAAACGCCCATGTAAGCCAGCCCGTTCGCGGCATTCTAACCTTGAGACAGAACTACCAGTGTTCAAACGACGCTTCGGCCACTAGTAGGCCCGTGCACTTAATTGGAAAAGTGCAATTCATTATGTAAACAGACATGAAAGGTGATAATCAGTTGTGCGCTATTTTAAGTAATCCAAATGTTATAAATGCACAGTTGTTACATCTATTATTATTTATTAGTCATGTTTTTATTACGTAGATCATACGTATGATATAATTATGAATTAACCCAATAACAAAATGTGTACACTCTTTAGTACTCAAATACTCATCAATTATTTTTCAACTGATTATTACATACCCATAATAATTTGCAAAGAACTGATAACTATAGTTGCTGCCAATTACATAATCGTTATCTGAATTAAAAGTAACTTCAAATAAACTTCTTGGCAATGTTCATTTTTGTATTCATACATACATATATATATACACATCTAATAAGTCATATATTTACATACAGATAGAGAGATGCGATGTTTTAGAAGTTGTTAATATATATTTATTAGTATTAATGTAATGATTAAGATTTGTATTAATGAATGTATATACAAATGTTTTTCATCATGCATAATAATAACTCCATAAATTTTCAATGTTTCAATATGTAGCATTTACAATAAAAGTATAGTTTCTAATGTATTTATAATCCAAAAAGTATTTCATTAATAACATGAAAATAATAGACAAATTTAATGTGTATTCTCATTATTACATAAGCTATGCTTTTCTTTTTTTGTGCATCTTTTATGCTGTTTAAAATGTGTCACTGATTATGCAATTAACAATTTAAAAGATAAGTAATTAGGAGAAAAGCTGCGCATATACAAACGGATTTTAAAAAATTATTCAACTTAAATTTAAGAAATAAAATTCTATTATATAACAGTGTTATAATACACGATCAGCACGAAATACGACAAATTTGGCGAACTTTTGGCTACGAACAATTTGTAAACAAAACCGAAACGCAAGAACGTCGTAAAATACTGTCAACTCTGAAATTTCCACGATTATATATTTAATGAATATATACACATTTAAAAAATGACTCAGGCAGTTGTATTACAGCAATAATTAAATTGGCCTCTATTTCCACCGTCCATCACTTCACAGTGAGAGCCATCGCCATATTGAAAGTTACCCGTGATCCTTCAGAAGCTGACCTTTCGTCTGATTGGTTGAACGTTCGAGGAACAGGTCTCCAGCCGGAACATTTTGGGAAAAGTTTTAAAATGTTGCTCGTAGCCGGGACACGTTCCTCCTAGCTAGACGAAACATTTCTCGGAAGCCTGCCGCTTAAAGCCGTGCTACTAGAATCTCGTTTCTCGGAATTGTCCCGGGTAAGCGCGCGCGTCTAATAGATGTGATAACAGCATTATGTAATTTTGAGGAAGATATACCTTTATCCATTTTTTGTAGCAATTTCACTTTTTGTTTAATGCACATCGAAACATGCTTTCGCTTTGTAGATCCTGTTAGAATAGCTCCAGAATTAGAAACTCTTCGACATAATCGAAAGTTCAAACTTTCGATTATGTCGAAGTTATGTTTTCATAAAATTGCTGTAGTAATAACAGCCTGCAAAAAATAATAAGCTGCATCAAATCAGAAAGTTAAGGAGCAGCGCAATCAGCTATATTGACTGAAAGTTCTTGAAATCAGTAAAATATGAAGAAGTATAATTTTAGCCTAGCTTAACAGTGTCCACTATACATAATTGGCATTGTATTATATTGTCTACGAAAGACAAGTTGTTCTGCTAAATTTTGTCCTCTATCGTGCACTGAGACAATTAAGCCTAAATTGTATTATTTTAGTTATTTATTATACTAACGTCTATTTCTTGCACATGCTTAAGGGTTATCTGAGTTCTGAATAAATAAATTGCCTCATATACTCAGAGTCGTAGTGAGGGTTTTCAGCACCCAGGGACAACTGAAGATTTCGTGCCCCTTACTGCTTGCCAAGGATGGAAATCATTTAATTCTAAAATGTCGTAACATCAGTTTGATGCCCCTTGGATTCTGCGACCAGGAACAGATGCCCCCCTCTAGCTACGCCCCTGCATATACTTAAGCTTACTGAGGGCTGGCGCTAGATATTTTGGTGCCTG